ATTAAAAGGAAGAAACTGTCATGCATGCACGTTACTTCTTATGCTGTGCTGCCTTCTACTCTCTCATTCTCCCTCTCGGCACCACTGATGCAATTTATTTCAAACTACTCTTTCCTCGTCTCTAACTAGCTAAATTTTATTTTCAATTCCCCACTACAACAAAATATGTCTGATACGACAAACTAAATATTTGTCATTGCTATTTTCATCAAAATAGATACTATAATGTGATGAAAGTAAGTATTTGTCATAAGTGCCATGTTTAATGTGACAAAAAAGGTTTATCGTAGCAATATTTTGTCACATTAGCTTCATATTATGACAAAAGTTATGTTGTCACAATTATTTTATCACATTAGATTCATATTATGACAAAAGTTTTGTTGTCAAAATTATTTTGTCATATCATTTCGTGGTAAAGCGTTAGTGTACATAAAAAATTGTGACGAAAATGTTTGTCAGAAAAACGATCGTCATATAAAGTTGAGTCAAAGTTTAATATGAAAAATGGTTTTGTCATAATAGGTTTCGGTACGAATGAAAAACGGCTAATATGACGCAATATTAATTATCACAACTTAGTTTGTCACAACATCAATACTTTTAAATGTTACGACAAATAAGTTTGTCACATGAACTATAAAATATGCTAACTATTTCGATGGAGGGAATAATTCCCGCGATATGTTTTCATAACTCAAAGGAAATTATTTCCTTTTCCTATTCCCACATAAAAAAACCTCAATCCCCTTTCACGACTCCTACTCTCCCCAGACCTCGAGCCGTTTCCTTTCTCTGCCATTCACAGAAAAAACCCTAATATACACCGCCATTCCCAGGACGATTCCTCCAATCCCATTATCTGCCATTCTCGTGGTTGCATCTGGCGACCAGTAGAACACTCCATCGAGGTACGACTTCGATTTTCGATCTTGCATGTCGTCTTCTTTTATTTTGAATTCTCGGGTCGAAGATGCTCTCGTTTGGTAAATCCTTTCTGATTGCTGTCGAAGAATCTCGTCCTCTACCTTATGATCAATTGTGTATTCTTGTACTCAGTCTCCTCTGAGTGATGCCGATTATGACTGATTATCGCCGTTTTTGGAGTTTGTTGTTCCATGTCAATGCTGCGATGTTCAAGTGCGAAAACCTTTGATTTCTGGAGTCTCTGTCATTACTTGAGTGTGTTTGATTTCTATATTCCTGAATTCTTTTTTATTACTTTGATGTCTAGTAAGAGGCTCATGGATCTGAGTTCATCCTTCGTTTCAACCAAAATAGGTTTTAGATTAATGGCCTTGAATTCATCAGTTGGTTCCGTAACGAAGATTATGCTAGTTTCTGTTAAATTTGGACCCCTGTTTGCTTAGCTCGATTCTGATAATTTGTTCTTATTAAGTGTTTAACATTCACAGTTCATCCTTTATTTTAACCGAAGTCTAGGTTTCATATTGATGGCTTTCAATTGACCATATGGTGTTAATGCTTTTTGCAGAGACGTGTCTTTTGGAGCTGGACTAATCTTGGTTGTTGGTCGAAAAGGCTACAAGTCAAGGTTAGTTTAATTTTATGCACTCGCCATGGACAAACAATGGATGAAATTGAAAGACAAATTTTGTTCAGAATATGTCAAATGGGGTTAGAAACTTTTTGCAATTGGCCACTAATTCTGCTGATGCACTTGGTAGAATTAGATGCCCTTGCAAAAAGTGCAATAATACTTGCTTAAAATTATCCAAGCTATGAAAAATGATATCTTCTTGTATGGATTCCTTCCCGATTATACAGTTTGGCTACATCATGGTGAGAATTTTGAAGTTGGGCAGAGTAGTAATGCTGGCATTAATCGGGATTCTTATGTCGACAATTATGCTAATGATATTGAACCTGGGTTGCATGAGATGTTAGATGATATCCATAGAGCTGGAGGGGATATGGAGTGTGGTTTTGAGGGGACTGACATTGTTTGTGATGAAGGCAGGGACAGGGAGGGACAAATTGGACAGATTAGTTAGATTACTTAGTGATGCTCGAGAGCCTTTATTTCCTGGGTGCTCTAAGTATTCTAAACTATCTTTTCTAGTCAAAATGCTTAACAATAAAGTACTCACTAATTCTACCAACAAACTTTTTAACATAAACTTGGAATTGTTCAAGGATGATTTGCCAGTTGGTGAGACTCTTCCGTATTCCTATTATGAAAGGATAACATTATATAAGCTTGCCCTAACCACTGTGTCCTATATAGAGGGAGTTATAAGGATGCAGAGACGTTTCCAAAGTGTCGAGAGCCTAGGTATAAGAGTAGCAAAGGGAAAGGGAAGAGCGTGGCCATACATAAGGTTAGGTACTTCCCTTTGAAGGATAGGCTTCAGAGGTTATTTACAAATAAGGAAATTGCTAAGGATATGAGGTGGCACAAGGAGAAGCGTGTTGACGATGAGGTGCTTAGACACCCGGCTGATGCAGAAACATGGAAAAAATTCGATAGTGACTATGCTTGGTTTGCTGTTGACCCTAGAAATGTTCGCCTAGCTCTCTTAAGTGATGGTTTTAATCCCTTTGGCAACATGAGTCCGAATGACAGCATGTGGCCAGTGGTTCTAACTCCATATAACTTACCTCATTGGAGTTGTATGAAAGAGTCCTTTATGTTCTTGACTGTTCTTATACCTGGTAAATCCTCTCCAGGTAATAAGATACATGTCTATATTGAACCAGTAATAGAAGAACTAAATGAATTGTGGAAGTGGGGGTTAAAACTTTTGATGCATGCTCTGGCCATATTTTCAATTGCATGCTGCACTGCTTTGGACAATCAATTATTTCCCAGCGTATGTAATGTTGTTTGGATGGTGTACCAAGGGTAAAATGGCTTGTCCAGTCTGTGGTAGTGAGACTTTTTCGTTACGTCTAACACATGGGAAGAAGGAATGTTATATGGGTCATCGTAGGTGGTTGGGAAAAGAACATCCGTGGAGGAGAAGTAGGAAGTTTAATGGTAAGAAAGAAATTAGAGACCCCCCTGCCACTCTGTCTCCTGAAAATGTTTTGAACCAACTAGATATCACCCTTCCTAATTCTTCAGAGTTGAATATGAGTCCTGCAAGTAAGAAGAGGAGGTTAAAGAACAAGTTTAATTGGAGGGTTCGGGCTTCCTTTTGGTCTTTACCTTACTGGAAAACTATTGAACTGCGTCATAACTTAGATGTTATGCATATAGAGAAGAATATTAGTGAAAATGTGTTGGGAACACTACTACATATGGATGGAAAAACTAAAGATAATGCTAATGCTCGTAAGGATTCGAAGCTTATGGGCATTAGAAAGGAGTTGCACATAATTTCAGATGGTAATAAGTATGTGATGCCACCTGTTGCATACACATTAAATCTGGCAGATAGGAAGAAAGTGTGTGGATGGCTTAAATCAATTAAATTTCTTGACTCTTATGCTGCAAACATTTCTAGATGTGTTGTTGCTGATGATTCTAAAGTCTCGGGCATGAAAAGTCATGATCATCATATATTCTTACAACGTCTTCTGCCTGTCGTGGCTAATGGTTTTCTGCAACAAAATGTATACACTGTACTAGCATAACTAAACGGATTTTTCAGGGAACTTTGTTCAAAGACAATTAAATAGTCTAGTGTGAACAAGTTAGGGCAGGACATTATTTGAATCCTTTGCAAACTGGAAATGGTTTACCCACCAAGCTTTTTCGTTGTCATGATACATCTAGCAATTCACCTACCACGTGAAATAGAACTCGGTGGTCCAGTGCAATATAGATGGATGTACGCAATGGAAAGGTAATCCTAGATCTGGTTGTACATTTTAGAATTGAATGATTTTTATAATTATTGTTAATCAACTTCTTCTCTTTCGTTGTTTGTAAATGTGCATAGGTACCTAGGAACTTTGAAAGATTTTGTCCGTAACATAGCATGTCCTGAAGGATGCATTGCTGAGGCATGCATAGCAAAGGACTGCTTGGATTTTTGTAGTAGGTATTTGCAAGGGGTGGAGACTAGAGCTAATCGTTTAGATAGGAATCATGATGGTATGGATTTAGAACTTAATGGCTTTGCAGTCTTCAGCCAAAAAGCTAGACCAATAGGAGGTGCTTCTCGTCAGAAACTTTCCCCAACAGAATTGAGTAAGATTCAATGGTACATCTTGAATAACTGTGAGGAGATAACACCTTTTTTGTGTAAGTTTCTTGTGTTGTAGGTAACAGTTCAATATGATTAGACCAAGTTAAAAGTTAATTTTCCAACTCATAGGGTTATCACTATTTTACAGAATGCATAAACAATAGTATTTGCAGACAAATCCTAATAGAACAGAAGCAGAAATACAAGAGAATTTCCCTTCTTGGTTTAAAAAACATGTAATAATCAACTTTGTCCTTACTGAGTTGACCTGTAATTTTCTTTCTTTGCACTTTTCATTTTAACATTTTGACTCTTTATTTTTCCTTACCTTTATAGGTTTGTAAACTATACCTCAATGGGTCAGTTGGGAAAGAGGACCACTTATATATTTTGGGGTTAGGGGCTGATGAGATAGTAACTTGGTATACTGGTATCATTATGAATGGGGTAAGATACCATACTGTTCAGCGTGAAAAGGGTCATCGTACCCAGAATAGTGCTATTGTGGTTGAAGGGGAGCACAATGCAAAAACAATTGATTTTTATGGAATTATAGTCGATATCATTCGGGTTCAGTATAACTATGGTTGTCAAGTGTTCGTGTTTAAATGCAAGTGGTGGGATGTAGGGGATAAAAGAAACGGAATCAGGTCAGACAACCATCTAACAAGTGTCAATATGACCAAGAAATGGTATGTTGATGATCCATACATTTTAGCCAGTCAAGCAAACCAAATATTTTGCGTTTCTGATTTAAAGAATGGTGGGAATTGGCATGTTGTCCACAAAGTTAGTCTGAGACAAGTATATGATGTTCCAGAAAAGTTAGAGGGTATAGATCCTATGTATGAAACTGAACCCTTTCAAGAGAATGAGGATGTCCAGCATACTGAGGTTTTGGTGCATGAACTGAGCAGCAGTGACTCTAGGGATGATGTCCCACCTACAATGGATTCGGATGATTCTACTGATGGTGAAGACACTCTATGGATTAAGAGAGTGATCTGTTTGAGGCATGATGGATTGAATCTTGTGCTCGAGAGGCGGATGAGGAAGGATCGGAGAAGTGAAGAGTGCAGACTCGAGAGGTGGGCCGAAGTGCGGATCGCCGATAGCGGTGGGTAGGTACGCTGCCGTACGCTGCCGTCAATTGACGGTGAACGACTATGACCTTTACGTCCTGTAAACAATGACTAAGGCTGAAATGGAGAGAGGGGATTGGGTCTCGTCAAGGGAATTCTCTTGGTCGGAGTCCAGAATCGTAACAGAGTGAGAAAGTTTGGACGATGAAGAGAGATGGCCGTCGGATAACTGACTCACTTCTACTGTCACTCCAGGAATTGGCCAAGTGAAACCACTTCCTAAAGCGTAGTATAGCGGGTTTAGGTTTAATTATCAACCCGGGTCCTAGATTTGATGACTACTCAGTGAATTCTTGTTATCTAGCAATGAAACTTTAATGCAAGTCTAAACTAACAAACTAACAAAGCAAGTAAACAGTTGTATTCAGGTTAAGAGAGGTCACCCGGATATGGTTCCCCCTAGACTGCAGTTAAGCCGGATTGTAATTACCAAGTTCAGTTTCTATGATAGTTATACTGCGGAAGGTTCTTAAACAGCCTGAAGTCTCGACTAAAGGTCTTCAGACCCTCTCAATCTGAGTCTCTAGCGGGCTACTAACCTCCACCGGAGTAAACAGATTGAGGCCCTATGAACAAAACCTCCACTACCGAAGTAAATCCGGTACAGAATAGTGAGTTGGCTCCTTGACTAAAGTCACCAACTCCCTACCTTCAATCAAGGATGCTCTATCAACCTAGGCAGATATTCTCATTCTAGGTTAAAGCAGAAACAACAGGAATTTGATCAGGATTCAAGTCATTCAATCATTCAAACCTCAATCGAATATAATCAAATCATAGAATTAGTACTTGGGTTCATACAATCAAACCTAACATACAAATCTAGGGTTCTCCATACCCATATGAATGGGAGAACTACTCCATGGAGAAAGAAGCAAAAGCAGAATCAGACGCGGAATTCATACTGTGAAGGATGGATTCCTGCTCTTGGACGTTGATCGGCACTTCTCCAAGCTCAAACTGGCCTCCAATGGTGTTGAAGATCAAGCTAGGGCACTTGGAGACTCTTGTTCGTCACTTTCTCTCTCTAGGAATCGCTCTATCTCTCTCAAAACTCGAATCCCCTTCTCTTTGGCTGAAAATCTGCTTAAAAAGGCATCAGTGGCCAAAGCACGGTCGAGGGCACGGCCGTGTAATGCCTCAGCCCGCCCGTGCTTTGGCTAGGGTTAATTACACGGCCAGTGCATTGGGAGAAACACGGGCGTGTTTGATGATGGACACGGCCGTGCTTTGTCTAAGCCCTGCCCGTGTTTTTAGCCAATGTTTGCCAAACTCGAATTTGCTCTCGGCAGTAAAAGCACGACCACAGAACACGGCCGTGTTCTGTTTTAGGTCTGCCTGTGTTTTGGCTCCAGCTCGACGAAATGACTTCCGAATGCCCTAAAACTCGTGCTTAGCCTTCCCTTTGACGCCTGGGTCCTGAAATATGACAAAATAGCACAACCCGGCGTAAAATAGGCCAAAAATACACGACTATGCCCCTCAAACGGATAAGAACTAGGGACGCAAATATGTACAATTACATCGTTATCAAATTCCCCCACACTTAACCGTTTGCTTGTCCCCAAGCAAACCAAGTCAGACACAAGGTAAGCTCAAAACAACAAGGCATGACATATCGGCACAAAACACGTGGATCATACTGGCTTTCGATCAGTAACACATGGACAACTTCAATGACAACCTAGACAACCACCACAGATGACATTCGAATGCAGTAAAATCGAACAAAGGAAGAGTCTCCCTTCTGTTCACCAACCAACATAGACTTGACTCAACCACTTGTTCAAAACAGTCACGTCATGCACAAAGTTCAAGATATCAGAATTAAGACCGAGCAATCTAGGTCCTCACCGGGATAAAGAGTATAGAGAATAAGAGAAAATGAATGGCTCACTCTCGACCAGTGGGGTCAGGACAATATGATGCGAAAAATGCGCATGCTTGATCTCTCAATCCCTAACATATCTTCATCATGAATGCAGCCTCTAAGTGCTAGAGTTCACATATGGGGTGTCATCACTAACTAATCCGGAGGTCTTAGACACAGGTTCAGATGACTGGCTAGGGTCTTGGACATGGGGAAAAGGCCTTTTAGGTGGTGGAAGTATTCATACAACACAAGGTTCCACATTTCCAAACCCAACAGACTCACAATCAATCAAACCAATAACTTTCTTTCTGCTATTCTGCATTACTCAAGTTCAGAGCACAAGAGCGAAGGAGGTTACATAAATGCTAGTATTTCTAAGCCAGACTGCTAAGAAACACTACTAAATGGGCATTACTCAGATTTTTGGTGGTGGCTCTCTTTTGCTTTCGTTTTTTTTCTTTGTTTTTCTTTCATTATTTTTCATTTCATAAGAGAACCACCGCCTCTGCACATTTTCAAACACCTGCCCAACTTTTAAGCACTACCTCCAACCCTCACATTACATTTAGCAGAAATAGCAGAGAACATGTAAAAATCACTCTGTGGAACCTTCTAAAAGATGCAAAAGGGTGACTTTTCATTGAAGACCGAAAGAAAGAAAACAAACGGCTCAAAGGGGCTGACTAGGGGTATGACACACCAGGACAGTCAATTTGGTTGTGGGCTAATCCTATGCCTCCATCATCTTAGCTAATGACAACGTGAATGCTGCACATCATGGAAGAGGAAACTATCGCTCAAGAAAGAAACGAGCATGCTCAAATCTCACATGGCTACCTATATGCTCTATCTCTCGTTCTGATTCCCTGAACTAGATGCATAAATGACTGTCAAAAGCAAGTGATCAAACCAAGTCACATTTGGTGAGCAGACAGTTGAAAAAACTGAACCCCTACACAATTCTACTGCACATCTCAGTCATCAGAATAAGTTGTCTAAGTCACACTCAAGTTGTCATGTATCAAGTCAAAAGCCATTCAATTCACTAATCACATCCACAGTGCCAATACGATCAATCATCAAGCAAACAGCCGTGCTTGGAGCCCTCAAATCTCAAGATTTGGACAGTGGACTAGGCTCCACGCACACATATATACGTTCCAATTCATACAAAGAACCCCCCCACACTTAAACGCGACAATGTCCTCAATGGAGTAGAGGGAAGGGGAACGATGTTGCCGTGAAACAGTGGTTAGGAACGTGGACTGGAAGGCGGACCAGTCAAAAGAAGGGAGCACAGAGCTAGAGACAACAAAAACACACACACTAGGTGATAGAAATCAGAGTACCAAGTCTACAATCCAAGATAAAACAAAACAAAACAAAACGAAACCACAAAACACGGAGTCTCAGTCTGGAAAACAAATAAAGCACAAAACCCGCTCTAGAAGGCATCACCACCATCGCCGGTGGGTGGAGGGTACTCATCCTCAAACCCTGGGGACTGCACGAACGGGTAGTGGACCGCGTTCGGGTCCAAGCCCAAGTAGGACATGATGTAGTGCTGCCTCGACATGAGACGACGCCCTCGGTCCCGCTCACGATCAAGGCGGGTGTGGATGCGCTCCTGGCCGGCCAGGATGCGCTCATTCTGCTGCGTGATCGCCGCCAACTGGTCGGAGATGGGCACCACCACTGGAGGAGGGGACCCTGGAGAAGGAGACCGGGGAGCAGGAGAGGGGCTCGCGGGAGCCTGGGCACGAAGGGGAGCGCGACGGGGAACTCGGCGCCCACCAGCGGCGCTCGACTCGGCCTGGTCGCCCTCTGCAGGTATAGGTGGCTGAGGAAAGCCCGCGATCCAGCGCACACGCCCGAGGCGAGAAACCAAGTGCTGGTGGCGGAGAGTAGGCTCGCCGAGTGGGGTTGGTCCGCGGACCAATGTCATCCCTGTGTAGTCCACCCCGTAGTTTCGGGCCAAGGCGGTGATCACCGGGCCACAAACGAGGCTGCGAGTCGTGCTGATGGCTGCCTTAGTGAACGTCCGGGCAAGCACAGAGCCCAGCTGGATGGTTTCCTCGGAATGACCCATCGCATGCATCAACCAGAGAGTCCGGAGTGTGACCCGGTTGGACGAGCCCTTGCTGGGTGTGTAGGAAGTGCTCGTCTGGCTGGCTGAGGATCCGCCATTCAGGACGGAGGAGAGCAGCCTGCGTCTGGCTGGCCACGTACTCTTCATCCACACTGTCTGGCAGGCAAATGCTCTGAAAGTACGCCTGGCAAGCGAATTCGATGGGATCGGAGAGGTCCAAGCGTAGGGGCGGCCCGCCTGCTGCCCGGGAGTAGAGACGAAGTGCATTGGCGAACTCCCAGTAACTGAGGGAGTGCTCCACCCCGCCGAGGGTGAACTGAACTGCATCAGCATGGTCGGAGTTCCCCTTCGAGTTGTGGTGGAAGGTGGCGTAGAACTCCCAAACTAGCTCCTTGTAGGTCGGCTCGGCGAGGGTGAGAAGACGCCGCCAAGTCTGGGAGCGGACCACGGCCTCCATCTGTGTCCTTGCATGAAGCTCCTCGAACACCTCCCAATCGAGGTGAAAGTGCTCGGCGATGCTGCGGTCACGGAGGTTCCGCAGCTTATGGCGCTGGACGATGTTCATCTGGTCGAGATAAACCTCCATGATCCTGCAAAACACAATGAAGGACAAAGTGTACACAAGCAAACGGGGTCAATGTTAGGCCAAAACCACACCGGGAGCCCTCATATCGAAAGATATGGACAGTGGACTAGACTCCGGCGACACAAACATACCCATCATACGAGATTTACACAGCAAAATACACCGCGGACCCTCAAATCGAGCGATTCGGACAGTGGACTAGGCCCCCGGTGAAACAAGCATACCACAACTGTCCTAAATAGCACCAATCGAGGCATCACAGAAAAATCACATATCACGTAGACTATTCAACATGCAATCAGCCCAATCATCCCCCAAACCCAAAATATTCCCAAACCATGCATTCCACAATCAAAAGTTCTTCACCTACCTCTAGGAATCGATTCTCCATAAATAAAAGAAAAGACGAGGAGAACACTCCTGGAGACGCAAGGA